CGTCCGCAATTATACAAAAATCTTAAACTTTGCGAGATGCAGTTACAAGATGCTGAATCCTGTTTAGACCTTCCTCTAGCACTTTTAGACATCACTACTAATTATCAGATCATCGGCGATCATCACAAACTGTATTAATACACAATTGATATACATTTAACTAACACTTTCAGTGTTTATACTAAAAGTAAGGCTTCAAAAAACCCTCAGATTGCAATCTTTGAAGTAAATCATGTTCCATAAAATGAGGAAAAAAAGAAAAGAAAAAAAGAAGAAGGAAGAAGTATGGTCCTGAATGCTTGCTTTGGTTGCAGTCAAGCATGTAAATTGGTACGGAGGAAGAAGGCGCAACGATTTTATATGTATTTGTGGGCGGAGTCAGCATGAACGGATAGTGACATTTGCGCACCCACTAAACGACGTCGCCAAACGCCACAGCTGAGCTTCTGGACGACCAAGACCACGATGACGGCAAAATTGGCAACAAAAATGACGATGATGATACCCAATAAAATGTTGCTCTGCTTGACTGTTCCACTTCCAGCACCTCAGGCTAACGTGTATAGCGTTAACACGGCGTCGCTAAAAAACGAGTCTGTTGCGGAGAAGCGGCTACAAAATTGTGGCTGGCCAAACGTCAGGGTAAATAGGCTTCAAAATTTCAATGAAATTGCTAATGCCCCTCTGGACTCATTCAGTAAATCACCGTAATTACTTCGTGATTCAGAGAAAATTTTACCTGATCTTTTTATGCGTCTAATCATCTTCTTACTTCTCATTGTTCCTTGAAGAGGTTTTATCGTGCTTTATCAAGTTCAGTTAGTTTCTAATTAAATCAATGTGATTGTTGTTGGCATTTATTTTGTTTTATAGTCAATGGCTAAAGAACTTCTTGCTTTCATCGGTCAGTAGAAGAAGCCGATAGGTTTGCAAACAGGAACAAAGACAAGAAAAGAAAAGTTTTAAGCAGGTACCTTGATAAATTGCGGATCAATGGCTTTTCGAAGATACGGAAGCATTTTACTCGGACATGTTCTTAAACTTTTTTTTCTCTTTTTTATTTCTCTGAGTTTTTTGTAGTTCTTTGCTGCTGTCGTTAATCGTCTGTTTACCACCTTTTTTTGACGATACCGAAGAGGAAAAAATAGCAAGCAGAGACAATCCGGACGAAGCTAGTTGATTAAATCTAATTAGACATTCGCTTTTGCTGCTGCTGCAGCAGCAGCAGCTATGAGTGTATTTGTTGGATAAGCACAGCTGATATATTTAGTAATTTCTGTGTTAAAATTGAAGAAAAAGGGACAAGAGCAAAAGCATGAAAAAAAATAAGAAAAGTAGATTTAGAAAATTGCATATGCTTTTGCAAAAAAAAGTCTACAAAAAGTGACGTGCTTTTTTGTTTAGCAATTAAAGAAAAAAGCAGTGCATTTTGATTGATACTGGAACATTTTTCTTTTCCCTTTTTCACAACATTTTCGTTTGGTAATTTTGATATGTAAAAAAAGAAAAAAAAAGTGAGCAAACTAAATAAAAAAAAAAGAAACAAGAAAGAGAAACAGTATTTAGAAAACAAATATAAATTAAATTAAATTTATTTTTCTCTCTTTTACAATTTAAATTTATTATTTTCTTTACAGTATCTTCAATTTCAAATTTTTCAATTTCTCCTTAATGTTAGGTTAACACTGCTCAGCCCCTAAACGCAGTTACCCCTTCTGATCTACGAACTCAGATGGACGACAGTTTGGCTCCGAGTCTTCTCGACTTTCCTTCATATTTCTTTTTCACTATTCCCCCAACTTCTCGTTTGATTGAACACTTTTCATTCACTGATAATTTGCACTCTTTACTTTTTGATCTAAAGGGGACAAAATGATTCATTCAACACTAATAACAGTAGAAGAAAAAAAAAAGATTTTGTC